TTACAGCAGATGAAAATCTTAGAACCACAGAAACTTCAAAAATGACAAATAACTCGAACCTTGCCCCCAGCCTCAAGAAAAAGAAAAAAAAATCCTGGTGATACTTCTCTAAAAAGAATCAAACCTTTTTATGAGACCTGTTGCCAATATTAGTGCCACCGAATGATCTCATCTTTCATCCTGGCTAAATTCCAACACACAATTTCATTAACCCAGGTACTGCAGGTGATAAAACTCATTTTTCCCTAAAGAGACAGCTAAAAAGTACCAGTTATACATTTATGAAGTACCAGCAATCAAAATTATGGATTTTCTAAAAGGTTTTTAACTACTTTTATTGAAAGGAAAATCGCTGTCTCAGACTTTTGTGACACTATTGCTAATAATAAATTTTACCATTTAGACATCGCAGTAATATGGTAGACAGTGTCAATAAAAGTATGAAACAAAGATGATCCTTGTCTCTTAAGTAGTGCTTTCTGATTACACACCGGAAATTATATATGAAACATAAACTAAGAGCACCTTAAGATATAAAATGCAATAAGGCAAGACAATGTGCCATGCACAAAAATATTTCATCGTGCGTAGCAGGCAGGAGTTTGAGATGCTTTCTGGGAGAAGCCGAATGCTCACCTTGAGAGTAAAAATACTTCTATATGCATGTAAAACTAAAAATGAGGCGAGTTAGTTCAAGCTGGCTTGCCGTTTCATCCGCTCAGGAGAAGAACGAAGCCAGGCTCTCTCAAGGATGCTACTTTTGGGTCCTGGCTGCACACTTGCCCTACCAGCATCCCCGGCAGCACTAGAGGGCACTGTGGGATTTGGGTCACCGCAGAGGTCCTCAACCCCCTGCCATGGCGGGAGGGTTCATCAGGAGGTTGTGAAAGAAATGGTAACGGCGACATTTCAACGGCAACTCGAAATACGTGGCGGGCTGGGAAAGTAAAACGCTTGCTTGTATTGCCGAGGTGGGTTCCCCGGAGCGGGCTGGGTGCCCCGGGTGCATCCCCGGCGGCAGCACCAGCAGCACCTTCGCCAGCCAGGCTTTGTGGCTGGGGAGTTTAACTGGGCCTGCCAGGAATTTAAAAAAACCTAAAAAAGACAGCTATAGACTAGCCTTTCCTCTGCCCTTGCCACCTATTTGATTAAAAAGTCTCTGTTGTACTAACTGCAGATGATTTCACTGCAGAACATTTTGACATGCAAATGATAGCAATTAATGCCTTTGAAACAATTTATGATTTCCGGCCTACTTCAACATGTATTAGCATATACCTGGTTTCTTTAATATACACTTTGTTTTTCCAAAACCACAAACATAGTTGCTGGAATTTCATGTGGAAGTGCTTAAGGGGTTGAAAGTTAACACCTTTGTGAGCGGAGCAGTCTCACAGTTGCTGCTAAACAAAAGCCTCTTTGTAGAAGCTTTCCCGAAATGTTTTCTTAACATGTTCCAAGTAGTTTTAGGCAGGCAACTAAAGTAAACAAGATGTTACCATGATAAAAACACTTGTGAAAACATTACAGAGTGCACTTAGTCGTTTCTTTCACATAAACTCCCCTTTCGTTTCATCAAAGTTAAATTCAGCTGAAGCAGATTACCAGCATCGCTGCAATATAGGATTGCAAGATGTCTCCAAAGGTCTGCATCCCTCTTTTAAAGAATATAGTTGATTTAAAAATGGTACAGCCGTGATTAAGCCGTGATAAACCACAATAAGATTTAAAAAATAAATGGAGGGCAATAAAACCCTACTCAACCTTCTCATTCATTTTTTTTGCCCTGGATGCCTGCATACCTTGCTGAATAACCTACCCTCCCCCCAGCAGGGATTTCCTGAACAACTTGTCGTATAAGTGCCATATATTTCTATCTGCAACGGTCTTTAAACACATGCAAATGAAATCAAGGATACAGTCAATTTTGAAGGAAAGTCGCTCTGTGCTACTAATTGCTCCTTTCGTGGCTGCCTGCGAGAGGGGCCCTGGTTAACATGCCAGACACGTGTGCACCCTCCAGCCCTCACCTTCCTTCCCGTGGCTCGGCAGAAGGCCGTCAGGTCAGAGCACGGAGACCGGACTTGTTTTTGTTTTTTAGGTTCAGGGAGTATTCTGGAGCAGGCAGGGTGCTACTGTTTCATTAGGCTTAGGAGCAGCCCCTGCTGCTATCCCTTAGCTCGAGCTGATACCGCATCACATGATAACCAATGGCTGATGGATTTAAAAAAAAAAAAAAAAAAACCAAATCAAAAAACAAAACACTAAAACTGCAACTTATTTCAAAAAGAAATAGGGAAATAGATGTGTACAATGGCCCGTGTATCTGCTGGTTCTGATAAGCATCCTCCTGTTGGCTGTGAGTGAAAGACAACTAGCATCGTTATTTGTACAGTATTTATCTTTGAAATCAAGGGCCCTGTGGTGTACCTCACCTTGGGAACAAACACTACAGAACGATCACAGAAGAGTGTCAAATCTCTGGTTTTGATTTACCAACAGTTATGATATTTCTTCCTCAGGAGGAAAAGAAATGAACCATGTTTTAGACCTGTGAGTCCTTTTTTCTCCCTTAACTGTAGAATAATTTTATTGGCATACAGGGCTTTCATTCCACACGTAACTTCTCTTTGCTTTTTCTAACGAGCCTTTTTACCAGGGTAAGTGAAATTAAGCAATGCTCAATTGATACACAGGCTGTATTTCACTTGGTAAACAAGAGCTTTTCTCTTGAGGGGACTGTCGAGCTTTACAGATTATACAAGTACCAGAAAGAAACTTCAAGCATCTACCTGTTATCTTTTCATTGAGTAATGAACTTTGATAAATGGCAATATAATTTAAGGACAGATGCTCCACAGGAGACTTGGAAGGCTACGGTATCATTTTATGAAGCACCGCTCACTTCCTAACAGTGTCAATACACTGCTCAGGGACATTCATTTCTGCATTCGTTCTGGGTTAAATATCCCTCTGAACAATAAGACTTTGTCTGGACACTGCAGAATCTGGGTAATGAGAAAATTTACAAGAGCCGATGGGTTTAAGGAAGTCACATTAAATATTTCTGTTAAAAGGTTTCAATGGGGGAAAAAAGAAGAAGAAGGAAAAAAAAAAAAGATTGACATTAAGTGAGTGATAAAAGAACCAGAATTGTTGGAGCTGGGAGCAGATGAAGCTGCTTCGGGTCCAAGCTGGTAATGGTTGTCAGGTTGTTCCTACCTGTTGACTGCCCTAAGTAGCTCCTCCAGGTGAACTGGTGGACTTGGTCTACTTAACTGAAACATGTCCAAAATACCATATAAAAATCAAGCCTGCCTCTACCTATGCTGTGTGACTTGAGGGCTGTATTTTTTATGCATGGCCACATCAAGCAGTCTGTAAGGAACCTTCCTGAAACCAACAGATCGGATCTGGAGCAGGGGACTAGCACAAGAAGCAAAGGTGGCACCATCTGACTTTATGTGACTACACACATTATTCTGATATCTAAGGCTACCACAGCACCTTTCCCTTACATTAACTGCAATAAAAATGAGAATTGTTTTAAAGGTCTAAATGCTATAGTATAGCGTATGAATATGAATGAGCTGGCAAGTATGGAGAGATTAGCATTTATTTCACTTAAGTGAACAACAGGATGAATTAAAAAGAAATGAGGCCACTGTTCATGGAAATTTATGACTAGCACCCTCTTATTTTGTAATCCTCTTGTAATGAGAACCTTCATTACTGTACCATTCCTTACTTGTAACATATGTTTATAGTAGGACCAGCACCGCTCCTACTGAATTCAGGAGGGTTTTTCCAGTGGAAGCAGAACTGGCTCACTTTGTTCTGAGAGCAAAGACCTATCTGTATCATCTAGCATCACCTAACAAGCAGCCTCTGCTTGCTGTTCCCCTTCCCTCCCGCTCATAAAAATCCATCAAACTGCCCCAAAAAGAACAGATACAGCTGAATGTTTGGGGATTAGATCTCCTTATCCATCCTGAAGAATCCCATGTATTTACGTGGACCTAACTTCATGAGGTCACCACTGTAAATGGGAACAGAATTTGTCCCTTTGTGCAGTTGAATCATAAACATTGCTTGTGCGGTTGGTCTTTTGTGATCTTACAACCAACTGGCCGTAGTACTTGAGAAAGGATCAGTGCCCAAACCTGGATGCACCCAAAGCATACCTGGTGATCTACCCAGACAGAAACTCTTTTGGGATGGGAACATTTTTTGCTCCAGTTTAGAGGGGTGAGGCTGATGGTTTAGCTGTGGAGCAGCCATGTGTAAGTTATTAGAACTCTGCCGGTCCTTCCCTGCATCAGGATGCACATACTACCACATACTAGTCCATAATGCACTGTTTATGCAACGCATAAAAACGTGTTCTTTGGCAGCAAGGAAAGGTCTGCAGCAAACTGCAGGGGCCCAATTAATATAATTATAGTTTATTTTTAGTAGTGTAGACTTTGTTCATTAGTTACTTATTTGACATAAATTAAATTTCACGTGATGTTCCGCAATTCTCTGTTCAATTATGGAGTTAATTTAAGACTAAATTTCTAAATTAAAGTGAAATCAAGGTTAAATCAAGGTTGTATTGTTTACATGATCAATACTGCAACTTAACAATTATTTAAATGAATAAAAAAAAAAGTCTGTGGAACTGCAAACACTATCTCATAGTAATACACTGAGCTAGACCATACTTTCCCCATGGGGCTAATTTACTATCCCCTGTTAAAACGTTCTTGAGCCTGATCCAAAAGCCACTGAAGTGAAAGGGAGCTCTCTGTTGACTTCAATGGGCTTTGCATCAGGCCCACGGTGAGTGACAGCACACAGAATTTCAGGGCATGCTTTTGGTACAATGCAAGTGCCAAAAAAACCATCCTTACTTTAGAAACGACTGGAAGTCTTCACATACTGCTTCACAGCCTGGCCATTTGCATACGCCGTGTCCGTAGAGGGGATGGCTGTGTGAGTGCTCCTCATGGGATAAACTGGGGAGAGAAAGAGAAAAGGGAAAAAGTGATGTAACTGAACGTACCGTGCCAATTCATCTTCACAACAACTCTTAAGCAAACAACAGATCCTGAAACATCCCTAACATCTCACGGTACCCACCTGACTCTGCCCATGGTTTTTCAAAACAGAATTAAATACCGTTTGCAGCGCGAAACATGTGTCACTCTTACTTAGCTATCCTCCTACATTTCATTCATTAATTAAAAGCTTTGTAAAGAATTTAAATTAACATGGACGGGGGAGAAATCATTTGACAGACCTGCTTCATATCCTGCTTGATATTTTGCTAAGAAATTTATGAACATTGCATATTTACAAGTCAACTTCATCAGGAAGAACACTCATCTCCATAGAGCAGTGTATGCTTCTAACACAATACAACCGGACCCAAGGCCTTCCTCACTGCAACAGAAAGAGGAAAAGCATCAAGTTTGCAGCCTTGGCTTTCCCACCGTCTTATTTATTTACCAAGTTGTTTTTTTTGTTTTGTTCTGTTTAGTTTTGGTTTTTTTTTTTCACCTCCATTTTGGGGTGTTTCTTTTTTTCCTCCTACAGGCTGTTTCTCTGCACAAGTACAGCCCCTTTATGGGCTACTAAAGAAGATTTGAGGTGTATTTTCAAATGCAAAATTCATCATAAAAAAAGGAACCACGTAATCAAAGGATTCCTCAGTCCGAGGAGTCAGTGGGGGCCATTAACCTTCCTAAGATTTGGCAGGAAAGTCACAGAGCTCTCTAACTACTGAAACCAGGGTTAAAGAAAAAAAATTCATATGAGCATGAAGGGGTTAATCCTTCAGCGGGATTCCAATCAATACGTAATGATTTGGCTGCACTGATCCAAGTCATGAGACGCTTTGATCCGGGCCATGTGGTGCTCAGGGAAATGTATCTGTTGCACTAACTGATGAACCATATTCTAAAATATCTTCTTTATTCAACTTCTGCATGGAAACTTCTTAAAGGAATTATTTTTGCAACAATTTCCATAACCCTAGATGACTTTAAAAATAAAATGTCAAAATAATATTGAAATCTCTATTTTATGCTCACACACACATCTATTTTTCATAGCAAATCTTTCTGCTACAGTATGCCTGCGCTGTATTATGAACTTCAAACATACACAAAGGATATGAACACATACCAGCATCTAGGTGTGGCTTTTATGACTTATTTTATCCTGGATTACAGGTAACGTTACCGATAAACACCTATTTTTTGTCTTTTTACTTTTATACACATGTGGAAATGCTGTTTATTCTTGTTCTGGAATATTATCTGCCTGCATACTATAACAAAATTCTGTTCTTGTATTATTTCTGATGCGCTGGATAGCAAGATCCCACAGAACACCCCGCTGAGGTGTTATCCCAAATGCAAAGAAGTTGCAAGACAAATTCTTGCCCAGGTTCTGCCACTTTTGACTTTAGGTCCGGTGAGAATATAAAGATAATTTAAGGTGTTTTTAAAAATTATTTTAAAATTAAAAAAAAAAAAAAAGGTACAGATCTGACTGGAAAAGGTATTACAAGTTGTACAAGATTAATTATTTCATTAAAAGCTTATTTTTGGCTGTTTACAAATAGTTCTTCAAGCATAAGTACATATATGTGCAAGGTAATTTCCTAAAAAAAAAGTAGGTGAAGAGACTTACAAAGGCTTTTTCTATAAAGGAATATTACACTGGTTTAACTTAATCAGTTTTTTAAAATGTGCAAGTGGGGAGAAGCTCTATCAGTTAAGTTTTTAAAAGAACAAAGGGATTGATGAATTCCTTGCAAGGAAATTAGAAAAATGCTACAGCACACGTTTCCTCAGCTGAGAAAGAGGGAGGATGGCGGAAGGAACACCGTCCACCCAAGCCAGACAGGCATATGGTCAAACGCCCTCCATGCACATCAGAAAAGAATAATTCTGAAAATAATGGGTTTTATCATCTGCTTCCACACCTGAACACAGCGAAGGGTGAGAAAGTAGGCTTTCATGTTAACACTCCATTAAAGTCCACGAAGACTACACATGAGAGTTACGATTTCAGTGTGTTTGGCAGAACCCAAAAAGAAATCCAGCTTATTAATTTACACACCGTACACCAGGATGACTGCAGAAACCTCATGTGACGCCAAGTAAGGAGTCAGTCCCCTGTGGGTTTTAAGCACTGTAAATCTCATTATAATATCAACAGGAGTCACATGGCTTAAACCCCCAGCAGGGTTTTTTAAAGTTTCTCTGCAAGAGCCTAAAGGCCATGGCCAAGTCAACGGAAAGAGCCCTACCGAGATTTGTATTTATTTTTTAAATCCAAGTGCAAATCTCTCTTCTTTCCAGGGAACTTGCACAAGACAAGACAAACTATGTAGGACACGATACCCTGGTATTGTGTCCAAAGAAAATGACTGAATGACCGAGAGAGCATCAAACTGTAACTGATGCTCAGGATGTCCAAGCCTGGCGCTGTCAATAACCACAGATCCACGCTGACTGTAAGTGGGAACTTAAAAGGTCATTTTGCTAACACGATGCTGAGCGTAACATACTTAACACCTACGTATAGCTTCCACTGCCATTCGACAGAGCAGAGCAACTACTTCAATTTACCAAAAATACACTTCAAAAAAGAAAAAACCCTCAGTATCGAAAGAGAAAAGCAGGCACCCTCCGCAGGCAGCGTGCCTTTCCGAAGGCAGCTACTCCCATCCCGCCCGGGGGGGTTTCAGCGGTGCCTTTCGCTGACCTTTCTGTGTCAGTCTCAGATTACTGCTATTTTATCCATCCCACTTTTGAAGATATTCTAGATTGCCACTTGTTCCCTGACAGAGCCTTAAGAAGCACCTCGAAACAAAACAAAGAGGGGGTTTATACAGGAGCGGATGGAACGCACAAAGGATACAGCCCGTGGAAATGAATGGAGAACTCTGTTCAACTGATCCAAGTACTCACTTTGTTTGAGGAAACAGAGGTGGAAAATTAAGATTTTAATCCAACATATAAACAAATGTGCACAATGCAAACCCATAATCTTAAATTCTTCAATTATATTTTGTCTGTATAGAAGCACAGTTTCTGTAATCTGGATGCATCCTTGGTCTCGCTGCCGCAGACAGACTTTCAGAAGATCTGAGCATTGGCAAGCAGAAGCAACTTTTAGGTCTGTTTGATTTCTAATGACACATTAGAGTAGGTGTTTGTTTCTGTCACCCTCTCCTTCCCAGGAACACATATTCGTGGTCGGGTACTGGTGATGCAACACTAGTTAGTGGAAGTGATTTTATAACAAGACATAATTTTCAAAGAAGTGAAGGAATAAATGATGTAAAAAACAAGATGATGTGGGTTTGCTTTCTCCTTGTAAGGTATTTGCATACAAAATACTTACTAGAATTATTTCCAAATAATGCAATAGTGCACCGTTATTACATTGAAATACAGTAAATACCCCTCTGGGAAGTAAAATGTCTTGCGTAAGTCAGCTTATTCATGATATACGACAGAGTAACGACATCCATGTGGGAAGCTGAAAACTGTGCAAGTGTCCGCTTATTTTCTGCTGCCTCCAGCCCAGTTTCCAGTAAGGAGGGGAGGGGAGAGAGCCAGGCACTTCCACAGCTCCTCTGTGCTTTCTGGATAGAGAAAAGGAGTTTTTACCCCTTGCTTCTTCGACCTACGATGCTTTGTAAGCCCAAGGATCTCCAGAGGGTCTGGAAGTAAATTCACCACCTGCTCTGCCAGGGCTGGCTGTCACAGCTGGTACTTGCATGGCCCTGCTCTCCCAGACCACTTCAGCCACTTTGGGACTACATCCTCTGTGCTACAGCATCACTGAGGAATCATACTCTGGGACACAAAACCAGGGGAGATGGAGAAACCATGGATGGAGAGTAAAAATGACAGTGTACCCGAAAGATAGCCAGGAGCATACTGGGTACCAGGGAAAGTAGTGTCCAAAGCACTGGCATGAAAGCTCCCTGTGCTGTATGGTTTAACACATACTTACTAACTGTGCGGAACTGGGTACCATGCTTGTACACACTGGCAAAAAAGTCATGGGTGGATATAAAAACCAGCTAAGCAGAAGCCTCAGTAATAGTACTTCTGCAACACAGGACTGTATTTTAAACATTCATGATGCTGACACACTTCATATTCCACTCTCTCTCTCTCCCACATCTGCTTGGGCCAACGATCTTTGCCAAAACACGAGGGGAAGTCAGTGATGTCGAGAAGCATCCTTGATTTTCTATTACAGTTATGAAGCATCTGCTCACGTTCTAACGGTGCGGAGAACACGCCTGAGCCACCTGCACTCTGAAAAATCAATACCACGTCTCCCGCGTTCCCCTTGGAAGGGGTTTGAGCACAGCACCCACAGGAACTGCAGAATTGCCTTTTTTTTTTTTTTTAAGTTTCAGTTTATTTCTCAGGGGCAATGGGAAGCAACCTCATCTTTGCCAGCTGCCATGAAACCAAGGTCTCTGTACAGTCCAGGCAGGAGCACAGGGCTCAGTCTCACACCACACTTGCCCTCGGTCTGATGTGGGTGGCACAGCCATCGAGGAAAAACGCCACATTTTCAGTCCTGTACAGGAGGAGGAGAGACAACTGGGAACCAACATGGGTCTCCCATATTTGCGACTGCCCAGTGAGCTCTAAAGCTCATTGAAAGGCATCGACGGAATAAAGTTGGTGAAAATGTTACAATGCTCTGAGTTAGAAACACTTGCTGTATTTGATTTAAAATCAAAACAGAAGCAGTAATGATTAAACCCTTGTACCAACTGTACTCAAATGCAAGTTCCTGCCTTCATGACAAAATCAATTGAATAAAGATGTGTTTTGCAGTGAAGTTGGACTGGAGCAAATCCCTCTGAATTCTTACTAAGGTGCCTTAGCACCCCTTTCCTCTCTAAACTATGAATTTAAAAAAAAAAAAATCATGAAATGGACTACTTCTAGATATTCATACTTCTGTGCCA